TTTTGACGAGGGATTGTCAATAAAAACAACTTGTTCCTCCTTTAGTTAATAAATATAGTACCCTGCATGTAAGTGTAATACACATATATTATACATTAATGAACCTTTGAGATCTCAAAAATCTTTTGGCTAAATCCTTTACTTGCACCCACTATATTATTTATTTATGTGGTCAACACCTTCAAATATTTATCTTGGGTTAAGACCCTGCAATTATTAAAGCAAGTAAAAGACCCAAAATTAAACTGAGAAGTCACGTGACTCGCATGTCCTCGTTCCCTTCAGTTTCATTTTTGCTTACATGGTGTTTTTGATGAGGTGGCAACAGTTTATTCTCTTGTGGCACTTTTTTTTTTCGGCTTTTCTTTAATGACATAGCTAGCGAGTTCCACCCAGAACTAAACAACTTTTTTATTTCATAATTACCTTTCATTTCACTTTAAATTTACAAGATTTACCCTCGTCTTCTTCTTTCTTGTCCCACTTCACTGCGCAAAATCCACAGTCTAAAGTTTTAATTTCAAATAGCACTGAACAATTTCAACCTAAATTTGAAATTTACAAACTCAAATCACAGTCAATTCATGATAATTACAGATACCCATGAATAAACATAATCCCTGAGCCAGAGATCTCATCCCTACACTGTCGCTGCAACCCAAAATTCACCGTCTTCAATTCTTCTTATCATTAAAATAAAAAGCAAGCGTTTTTTCATGGGACTCCTTCCATTGAATTGATTGAATGTCTAGATGATCAAACAAATTAAAAAAGTGATTGGGTCTCAGTCCTCCGATTCGAAGGAGTTAAAAAGCAAAACAAGAAAAAGGAAGGAATGCCACAAAATGTAGTATTTTATTTTGCTAGAAAAATTCAAGTATAGATCTTTCAGATCTAATGTTGAGTCTTGATACCAATACTATGATCTGAGTTCCCGGAATTCAAGTATAGATCTTTTGGATCTGCAGGGCTTAGATGAGTTTTACTGTTGGAAATACTGGATTTTTCTCAAAAAGATTGTCTCGAATTTCCTTATAGGCTGCTATGTTTTCTCGATGTGTCAACCTGCCAGAATTGCCAAGTTAGGTAGGAGTCCCAAATCTCTGTCGTCCCAGATGGGTCTCAAGAAATTCGCTTACTGCTTGGTCTCTTGCCAATTCAACGACACACCAATCGGCAGCACCCTGGCGTTTGGAAATTGGGTCCAGCTCCAATGATGAGGATGAGCAAAGACGTGCAGAGGGAGGAGGTACGGGAGGGTGACTGGGTAAGGAAGGACGATGAGAGTGCAATAGTTGTGGACCCTACTCACAAAACACATTTTTAATGTCCATATCCAAGTTAGCGAAAATTGCTTTAATTAATTATCTGCCACATCGGAAAAAATGAGCTGGCAGTAAAATGATGGCCACGTCATTTAAACAGTGCCACATAAGCGATGAACCAACGGAAGACAACGAGCACGTGCGAGTCATGTGACATCTCAGTTAAATTTTGGGTTTTTCACTCATTTTTGAAAACTGTAGGGTATTGTCTGCCAAAAAAATATTTAAGGGTATTGACCATAAAAATAAATAATATAAAGGGTGCAAATAAGATATTTGGTCAATTTTTTTACAAATTAAATGAAGAATGACTTTTTTTTTTTAATTTTAACGGAGAATGAAATATTTTTCTAAAATTATTTCAAAACCTATGATTCTGTAAGGACAGGGCCGAGGTGCCAAACCTCGGACTGCTACAGTAATTTCTTTATGACCGAAGTGAAAAATGAATATGAAGCTTCCTGCTCAAATAGCTGCATGATAATGACAGTAAGCATGTCCACACCTGATTCCTTGTGATGAGCGGCACAGCAGGAACGGTGGACACCCGTGCATCTG